TGAAAACCTCTTTTAAAACAAAGTGCAACAGGATAGCATGCAAATGAATTTGATAGAATAAAGGTAGTATATTGGCAGTTTCTTCAGTCTTGTAAATGTTTAAGATTTAGAAGTAGTAATATTAGTTAAAAAATGAAATTACTTATAACTCTAGAAATGAATTGAAATATGTATTCTCTATTTTTCATATATATATATTTAAGTCACCTTGGTAAGAAATTTAAAATAATGGAAAACCAGTTTCATTTTCAGAAAAATTTTATGATGACTCTTATATACTGCTCATAAGTACATATCAAATTGTTACGTGTTCCCATATCCAAAGATCATATCATAACCAAAACCAAATCAACATTATATAAGCATAACTTTTATTTTAAATGTCTCACAAATATTTATCATTTGTAAGCATAACATGTATTATAAGTATTTTAACCACTATTTTCTGAGTAGTTATTCCACATTCTTAAGTAAGTTTATAATTTTTATATTCTATTAGTAATTGAGTAAAAGTGTATTTTAGCCATATGTGGTTTAACTGTTTTTCAATGCACATGTGATGTAATTGTTTTTCTATTACATTTACTTAGGGTCTCCCAGGCCCACCTGGTGAAAAAGGTGAAAACGGGGATGTTGGCCCTATGGTAAGCTTTTATTGTCTAGTGTGCATTTTCACATCTGATGCTTCCCGCCTTTGACACCACCTCCTTGTAACCACGCTCTGTAACCATTGACTTCTCTCCCAGCACCTTGAAAAATGTACTGCATGATATGAAGGACGGAATATAAATCAGCCTGCATAGGGGGTCAAGAAGTAACATAATTTCCCCATAAAACACAGTTAAATAAGCGTTGAGTCTATCCTAATCGATCTCACATTATATTACAATACAGAATATCTTCTCTTTCTCACTGTGAGCTTATGTGACTGTACAGCCACCATTGGTTAGTCTCTTCTGATAAGTTTTTCATTTCTGTATGCCGTGTCATAGAAGTGTATATAATCAAGCCCCATGCATTCATTATTTCTTAGTGTTTAAATTCATATTTTGATGTGGAGCAGGTATATAATGGTAGTATTTACCCAGTGTTTAGAAAAATAGTACGTTTAATAGTTACAAACTCTTAAAATCAATTGTATTTTGAAGCACTTTCTTGATTTAATGAGGATTTCTCTCTTGATTAGAATGCCGTAACATCTCTGACCTACAATTATTTGTATTTATTGATTTGACTTTCTGCTGTAATGGCAATACTAATAATTCACTGAAAATTAAAATGCATATATGTGTTTATTAAGCACTAGCTTAGATGAGGAAATAATTAGCCAAAGTTGTTGCAATCTCTAATGAAATGTATGAACACATGTCTAATTGCTCCTTTTCTTTCCTCAGAATATTTAGATTTTCTTGCATTTCCATGTTAGATTTAATTCTATTCAAGGATCACATTGACATCTATTAAATTCTTTGAAATGATTGCTATCATCACACTAATACTTAAGTGCAAGGAAATCAAAATAAACATTGCTGATTAAGAATATTGATTCACACATTCAAATAGCAACAGAGAAATGAGCCCCTTTCTTCATGTTATTGATAATGTTCCCCCAAATTATAGATACATTCTCGCTGACCTTGTGATAATAGCAAAGAGTAGAGAAGCTTTTAGAATAAACCGTGACTATTAAAACAGATGTATGCTATTCCCTGATTGTAATTGAATCAGATCCTTAAGGTAGAAGTTCTAGCATTCTGTATTTTATTTCAAATGCCCCTAAGTAATTCTAATGCACAGTCAGAAGAGGATTGCTAAATAGAGTTTCTTCTTTTAGTACCTGGTACATAGAAAATGGAAGTTGACACTGAAAACAAAAGAGTAAATTAAACACAAGACAAAACAAAACAAAAAGTCAAACATTTTTATTGAGCTAATTAAATTTACTTGAGTATCATTTCTTCTTCCAACTTCATGTTATCTTTCTAGTCTAGCATAAAATATTTCTTGTTGTTTTCCTAGTACCTTGTTCTAAAGAGTCATAGCATATGTTTTGGTCTCTTTTCAAATTATAACTCCCTCAGTTCCCTGGAGCTATGTGTAAAGGATCATTTGCTAGCTCAATGTTATCTTCAACAGGAATGACCTAATGTAATGCTAATATGCCTCACAGACTATAATTTTGCAAGCTTAACCTTTTTCTTATTCCTAATCTCAGAATGAAAACGTTATAAAGGCATTGCCATTTGATCTTTATAAAACTTAATATTTATCTTTTACAGGGTCCACCTGGCCCACCAGGTCCAAGAGGGCCCCAAGGACCCAGTGGAGCTGATGTAAGAGCTATGAAACAAATTCCAATTATCTGAAAATTACATAAATCATTTTATTGTTAAATAGCAAGCAGGTCTGTGATAAAATGGAGATCATCAGTTGATCTCAATTGTAAGAGAACTACCCAATACTCATAGCTGTGCTTATTTTTAATTCAAGTACGTAGAACATGACCATCATTTCTTACTTATAAAGACTTGGGCTTTATTTGGAAAAGTTACCATAAATATCAAGTGTACACACCAATCATATTCAATACATAATTATTGATGAGTGAGGAAAATAAACTACATTATAGCTAATAACTCTCTCCAGTTCAACATGTTTGAACTCCTCCTTTACATATAATTGTTTGATAAACGGTTACTGAATTGTTTCATATTTAACCTTTAACTTTGAAAAGGGCATGAGAAAATAGTTTGTTCTTGGGCTGTTTTAGACTATAGATCAATGTGCCAAATATCTTTTTAAGCAGTTCTGCCTTCAACGTTTTCACTGGAAACAATTTGTTCATGCTAAGTACACCTCTTCCAGTGCTAAATGCTTCCTTTCCATGTTGTAAAGATTATTTCTCTCAAACTTAAACATGGGGCCGCTATTCTTTTACAGGATCTCTAAAGGTACTGCCATATTTGTATTACTGTTGCTTAGTATGTAGATCAGCTTTAGTGCCATCCCTCCTTTTCCCCATGAAGAAATCTAACGTCACCTCCTTCTTCCAGCTCTTTGTTGCTATACAGTTTCTATTGACTAGCCGAGCAGGAAAAGGTAAACTAATCTTAGGAAATGAGCTAAAACGAACTTTGGGGTTTCTCCGGAGGAATTTAAAAGAGTGAGCTATGGCTTATGATTATGTTTTGTACAGATGATATAGTTGCTAGCCCAAGTCAAGTTTTGTTATTTACAAAAACTTACAAAATTATCCTCTAAAACTCACGTGACAGTTTCATAGGAAGAGAAACGGAAATCATTTCCTGGTGTGAACTGACCAGTTTTATATTTTAATTCTGAAGTCAATGTGATAAATTATTTGCTAGCTAGTAAATCAGACAATTCATTTTTAATGTATCACTTTCCCATCTGTCAAATGATTTAGAATAGTTTTACATATATTTCTCTCTCTCTCAGACGTATTTTTGAAGGGTCATTTGAATAGCAGATTAACTACTATTTCTTTTGATAAACCACAGGGACCACAAGGACCCACAGGATCTGTTGG